ACTCCAAGCCCTTGAAAAGGAGTAGCAACAAGAGGCAGCTGCAGATATTTCTTCAGAGGAGGATGAGGTAGAAAAGAAAGTCCATTCCTCAACATTTAGGAAGTGGTGTCAGATGTGGGAAGAAATGCAAACTTTTATTGAAACGACTCACCCAGAGAAAGCTGTAGTAGGCTGTTGCATTAATCTTTTCAATGACAATGCGATGCCTCACTGCACAAATTTTGTGAAGAAGGGAAAAACAATCTTCAATGGATCGTTTCATTGTGAGAAAATCAAGCAGTGAGCCACAACCAGGACCTAGTGGTATGCCGGCAAAAAGTGCCAGAGAATGCACTCCAGAAAAATCTTCACTGCCTGATGTTATTATGGAAGGAGACTCCCCTTCCAAACAGTAACACCTCTTCTCCTCCCCCTTCCTCACCATCTTCCATATGTCAACAGGAGTCATCAGCAAGGGTAAGTAATAACTTGAACATACTTTTGTAGCATAGATTTGGGTGAATTAGGTATAAAATTTACTTTGAAGTGAAGTTTTTGGGGAGTCGGGAACAGATTAATTCATTTCCCATGATTTCTTATGGGGAAATTGGCTTCGGTTTACGAACCGTCTCCAGGAACGGATTAAATTCTTAAACCGAGGTACCCTTGTATATTCAAAAGTGTGTAATTTGTGGAACATCACTATGCTCAAAATTATGGGGCTCATACTGTATATACCTATCTACATATGTGTTCACCATAACAAACCACTAAAAAGTTGGTATGGTGAACCGAATACAACAAGAGTGGCACAAGACAGCAGCTAGCAGACGCAACCTCCCTCCCTCCAACACCCACTCACCAATATTCCTCCTCCCACCATACTGTTTATTGCACTATTTACACTCGTTATATATAAGTATCTACACGTTTTATTCACCATAATTATACAAATAAGATGGTATGGCGTCCAAACAGCATAGTGGCCACCATACACACTGCATGACAAGTCACACAGCAGCCAGCAGATGATGCCGCCACCCTCACCAAAATGGCTCCTCCCAACGTACTCCTTTTTGCTCTTATATACTATATACACACGTTATATATAGGTATCTACATTTGTGTTCACCATAGCAAAACACTAAGCTGGTATGATGAGTCTAAACAATAACAGGTTGCCACACGAGTCAGCAGATAACGCCACCTCTCCCTCCCTCACCAAGATTACTCCTCCCACCATACTATGCACATTCCTAATTCTCACCACAATCCTGTTATTATCAGAATCCTGATCACTAAATCCTGTAAATGAATAACTTTCCACAAGTTTATTTTGTAAAGAAACACGAGTAGTCATTTGAAGATTCTTAAATGGATGAAATAATGGCAGTGTCCTGTGGCCCTTGCCCTGTGAACATCTTTAACAGCATTGATTCACTGATATCTGAACATTGTAAACAGTATCACAGTCAGGCATTTCTGCAATACTATCATGGCTAAATAATACCAGTTACATATATATTTTGACATTTTTAGGCGATGCTGTGGTCACAAGCTGAACAGCAGTGCTGTGAGCTCATGCTGTGTGCACCAACCTTGGTGGCTCACTCAGTACTGAGGCCCTCACGCCTGGGAATGTTGCCCACGATTTTTTTTTAAATGGCATCTGTTTACAAGAGCCGTGGGGAAGCTGATGTGAACCCAGTGTAGCCGCGGGAGTTTTGAATGCTATGCTATACCTACGAGTGCCCTGAGGCGCTCTGTGCAGTACAGTGGTTAAGGCAGACCCTCAGATCAAACATTGTGAAACATATTTTTGTAATATAAAGAATGTATTTCATTATTATTTTAATTAATGCTGTTACACTTGCTTAAGCTATCATTACTCTTTCCTGGTGTCCTTGGGAGAAGAGAAGTTAGTATGAAAAGGTTCTGACACACTATTTAGCCAGATTAAGATTTTGATATTAATTTGATAACACAATTTGAGAGAGTTGGAGGAAACTTTGAAGATGCAAACTACAACAAAGGTCTGCAGCTAGCAGGTTTCAATCAACAACAGTGTGTATACAAGCCAAGAGACTGTTGGCCAAGTACGCCAACATTCATGATCGAGGCTGCAGCCCAAATATTAGTTTGTAAGTACAGAGTGTGCACGCGTGTCTCTACAAGTTTCGGGCAAGTTTGGTGGGTGCTCAGGAAAAGAAGTACTCATCATTAGTATTTTTTATAATCATCTCTCAGGTTTACTCGTGACATTAATGAGGGAGAGGACCCAGGAGGGGCCCCATTTTAACAAGTGTAAATGTATAAGGAACAGACCAGTGATATTTTTAAATTTGTATAATCTTTCATCATACTGTTCCCTTCCCATCCAGGCTGATGCCTCTCCACCTCATTAAACTGGAAAATGGGGGTTATCTTAGATGATTTTGGGGTCCTCGACCAGGCCTCCTTTTTGTTATCAATGACAATGATAACAATGATAAGTTTGGGGCAAAGATAAGGAATGTATGGCATACTGTAGTTGTTTATTAGCTTGCTTCTCCTATCATCAACCTTTTTCTTGCGATATTTTTTCACTCTTTTTCCAGGCAAGTGCCTCCCCATCCCACTGCATTGGTAAATGGTAATAATCATCATCATATCAATGATGAATGGCACACCAATTATTTATGCATATTTTTCAATGACATCGTATTAAATGATGACTATACGAGTATAATTATTCAGAATGTTAAAATAATTGAATTCTTTATCATTTAACATGTACTGCAATAAAAATATAATTCAAATTTTCAAGTAAATAATATTATGTTGGAAGTTTTCCAACATAATATACTACACTGTACATTAGTGTACATGAAGAGCAGTGTAGCATAAATGCTATACCATACAGTATATGATACAGAAATACTGTGCACAGGCAACAATTTACCCTCAATCAAATGTAAAAATAATCATGTGACAGCCACAAGACGTCTTACCTAGTCGTGTTTATGGGAACCAAGATCTAGCTTTATTGATCCACCTTCTAACAAATGTACAAGGTGCATCTATACTTTTTAACATTCCAGTACTTTTGTTATCCTTGCTCTTGAAGCTCTTAATAGCAGTAGGGTCTAAAACCTGTACCAGCGTGAAAATTATTATTATTGTGACGTCACACGTCGTGCATGACATATAAAACAAAACATTTTATCTCTTAGTTTCACAAGGTTGGGTCAGATTAGCTACATTTATAAACAGTAGTGATGATGTAAAAGGGCATATGCTTTCCTCAGATTTTAGAGCCTAATTGTAAATAGAGGGTTCTCTACCACCTCTGGTTCAAGCACTTGTTTACCACTCTCTCTGCATACAAGTATTTCCTTAAACCTTTCTGGCTCAACTGTTACCAATTTAGAGCCAATTAGAGTATACCTGGTTGATACCTGGTTGATGGGGTTCTGGGAGTTCTTCTACTCCCCAAGCCCGGCCCAAAGCCAGGCTTGACTTGTGAAAGTTTGGTCCACCAGGCTGTTGCTTGGAGCGGCCCGCAGGCCGTATATCCCTCCTGCTAGTAAAGACTGCCTCAATCCACTTTGTCAAGTTCTGTTAGTAAAATTTTTACAAGTTTTACTAACAGTAAAAAGTGAAAAAAAAAAGGTCCAGGTAAATGGAAAGTTCTGTTAGTATTTTTTTATGGTGTGACATTGGTCTTTTTCTCTTCTAATTCCGCCATATTTAATTCTCTAGTACTGGTATCTCTCGTACTTTATATGACCCTACAGAGATGTTTGGAAAGCTCCTGGTGGCACCGGTGCTGTAAGTCATCTTGTCTGACTGCACGATCTTGTCCAATGAACACAGGATCACATCTCAGGAGTGATAGGAACCAACTCAAAAACACTCTTCAAATGTTCATGTACTGAACACACAACAATTTGAAGCACTCAAATACTCACCAAATGTAAAGGATTAAAATTACACATTTGACAAGGACAAAACATGTTAGATTTCCCAACACCAAGCGGCTAGTTGTTGAACTATAGGTTCATGAGGAAAATTTTACATATACAGGTACATATTTAACCTTAGCAAATTTTACAAATTTCCATATGTATTTTTATTTTACAATAATTTAGTGTATATTTCAATGTTTAATTTTGTGTAAATGAAGAATGGCAAGTGCATCTTGATTTGTTTTTGTTTATACCACCGCATGGTACAACATACTGGTAGGAGTTTATGGGAGTTTTTTCAGCAGTGTTAGCATTTTATATTACCCATATTTCTGTAATAAGTTTTAATACATTGTGTTTCTACTACATAATGCACGTTTATTTGTGTAGCCTATGAGTGATACCACGATAATTCTAGCACCTTAACCTTATGCGTTATAAATATACATTAAGTTACCGTATATTTATGAGACACCATAGTTTTCTTTTCATACCGCAGGGCAGGGGAAGTGGTGCTGCCTTATTTTGGGGGATGGGGCCTTTTCTTACCCGGCAAATATAGGCCTAAACCCGATCACACCCCAAAATTTTAGGGATCTACCTAGCACTGGATCAACTTGTACACCGGCATATATGGTACATGTAAACTAAACAAAAATTTTGCATGCCCAATAATTTATTTTGTTACCCTATTTTATTAAGCAGCAGTAATGCTGTAGTACAGTGTTCTACATCCTTGACTGACAATCAAATAATCGGATTCAATCATCAGGCAGGGGGGGGACAGAAATGGTTGGGCACGTTTCCTTTCACCCGATGCCTCTATTCATCTAACAATAAATAGGCAGCTGGTAGTTAAGCAATTGTTGTGGGTTTCATCCTGGGGAAGGTCAGTTGTTGACCCAAGGGGAATGTCTGTAAGCTTCAATACAGTACAGGGTTCGGTTCCTGTCTCCGCAAACGGGAATTATACCTTGCAATAATGGTGGTCTTTACACAAAACATTTCACCACAAATATTCCATTCACGTAAGGAAACATTTCTAAATAAAAATTAACAAAAAAAAAATCTTACCTTTAGGACTTGCCGCTCCTCCAGAATGTGACGATCCCTGAGGAACTGGTGTTGGTGTAACTGCTGTTCCTTGTGCAGCAATTCCAGTGGCTGGGTCTGTTTTGCTTGGCTCTGATATTGGTAACTCTGGTTTTACTGCTGCATGAGATGCCGTGGCTGCTATCGCTGCTTTGATTGGTGAATCTTCATGTGGCAACCTAGTTACCGGTGAAGGGTTCTCTTGTCTAGAAGCAATCAATTTGAAGGATTATCTCTCCAAGTCATATTTTTACCAGGGTGTTCAATAAATTCACCATAGCACTCACTATAGTACTTAACAAAAATATTATGTCATTAGTGAGTGACAATCAATGGTAAGAAATGCAAACTCGGTCACAAGAGAGGTGCAAGTCACCTTGGTGGGAGGAAAGCGTGGGTGGTTGGAGGTCTTCGTGGACGCTTCAGAGGAGGAGGATGGTGCAGCTCTCCTATAATCTCCCCCCCAACACCCAAGTAAGGATCTTGGAGTCGTCCTATATCTCCACAATAAAGCTGTGTAACAATAATGACAAAACTTGTGAAAGCAATCAAAACAAAATATGAAATAAACTGAATGCAGCAGATATAAAATTTCAGATTTTCAGATTCACAGCAAAACATGCAAAGTGACACTTAAGTTTAACGTGCATACTTGATAATAATCATTATTTTTTACACCCACATTCACACCCCCACCTAATGTACCAAGCGGTACTCTTACCATCTTTTTCTCATTTAACCCTTAAAGAGCAGTTATCATCATAAGACGATTCACATGGTAATGCAGCTATCATATGATGATTTAAGCTATTATTGTCTGGGATTAACAAGCATGATGCTAATATCACTATAATAGCTCTGTATGGATGTTATAGTTTACCTTGACACATGCAAAAAATCCTGCTATCGTTTCATGGATACCGGTTATAAATCAGAAAAGACTGGCCATCTGTTGCGTATAAGCTATCTCCTCTCCTTTGTGGCAATGCCATAGATGATTTTAAATGCAAGTCACTACTAGTGACTTCCATTCTCTAAGAATCTTAAGAGGTCTTAATAAGAGTACTGTACTTTACGAATTCACTGGAAGGCAAATGAAAGAATGAATTACGGCTGCATTATTTTCTTATGACCAGTTTCTGAAAATTTAAAACAACAATGTAGAAGTCTTGCCAAGGCTTTGCTCTATCTTTGTACTGCTCCAGAAAAAAAACACTTCAAGCCTATGACAGCCACATGGAGGCCCTTTCATTATATATTCTTATTGTTATTATGGTGAGTTTAGTCAAATTCCATTCAACACTGTGCAAATGCATACCAGACTAACTTCTTATTTATAATATTAAAATAAAAACAAACTATGCAATTCAAAATTATGGTCATGCACTTTCAAAACTTTTCCCTTGCATGTCATGCTACACTCACCCTTGGATCAGGTGGCTTTGCATGGATGTTGTTATTATTGTTGTTTACTGCTGCCAACCCCTTAATCTGCAACGCTTCTGCTGTTCGAATAAAGCCCGGCAATTGATCCTGCATAACATTTACCTAGAAGCAAACAAATTGCAAACATGTGTAAAGACCTAGTATTGAACGTTCCACTTTTACATGCCTTATATACCTGTGTGAAACAGCTACCAATGGTCAATAAAGACAAATGATCAAGTCATCTTAGATAATATTTGTTAACTACCATCAGTAAAGTAAATATTGAAGCTGTACGGTGAGAGCAAACCTGCATATCTGAACTCTTCGGGTGCACACACTACTGACCAAACCATATTGGGATAAAGGTATCTTGACATGAAGTACAGTACTAGTCGACTTGTGTGGAGTTTGGATAGTGTTCCAAACACCATGACAATCGAGTAGTAATTCTGGTCGAGATAATTTTTGCCTATAATGGTCCAATTGATAGAGGTTGTGCTTGAAGCGTTCAGGGATGCAGGTTTCATCCCATTGTAGGCTTCAATATTTTCTCGTAGATTTATCACATTCTTGACATTTTATCATGTACAGTCAGATGTATGGACTCAAGAGCTGGATTAATAGCTCACAGTTATCAAGATATATTATAGTTTATATATATTTTCCAACCTGCTATATGAAAATAAATAAAAAAAGATTTCGCCCAAAAGAATTCAATAATTATTCCGAAGACACTGATGAAGTGGTTATATAGTTGGAAATGGTGCTACTGCAGAGTAAGTGAGTATTTTGCTACTGCACTACTAGGGAGTAGGTTTCTCTACTGTGAATCAAAATGTCTGTTATAATTTATCTTTGTTCATGAACTTACTCCTTTCAGGGCATTCTACTTGTTGTCCACACATACAAAGTATGAGAATTTTGTTTCCTCAACTCTCTTGCATTTCCAGCTTCTACTGGTTCTTCATTTAAATTCACCATAAATTTATTTAAATATTGCCGAGTCTCATTACCAACTAAACCCTGTGCCGAATCCGAAACCCTCAGACGTTTGGGAGCCGGACACAGGAGGGGGGGGGGAGATGGAGGATGAACAACAGGGGAAGGACCAGGGAGCACGGACAGAACCAAAGTCGAAGTGACTAACGCCCCCAGGTCCGGGTCCCTAAAGCCAAAGCCGGGTGGGAAACCAACCTAGCGCGTTGCAGTAACCTAAACCAAACCTGCAACTCGGATACTGCCTGTACCCTAACAGCAACATCAGAATAAAACTGGAGCACAAGCAGAGAACACAACTCACAAGACACCAGGTCAAAGGTGTCATTGACCCAACAGGCAGCAAGACGGAGACAAAACAGGTGACTGTCACCCTGAGACAAAGGCACTGAGCCCTGACAGGGTTTTCTAGGGCCCGTAGGATAACAACTACGGGAAGCCCGGGCAAGGTGTTGCTAACCAGTTAAACACCCAAACTACCAATGGTGGCAACACTGAAACCCCTGTGACGTAAACAAGCACGGGGGGCCTAGCAGAGGGCCACCAAAACAGTATCAGGGGAACTATAGTCCCACTAGGCAAACAAAAACAAAAGAAAAGAAAAACTGCAAAAGTACACCATCCCCAGAGGCAACAGGAACTGGTCGCAGCATAAGTGGCAGGTCGCGCAACACTGTGATGCCCTAACCAGCACAACACCGCTCCCTACCCAAGGCCAAACAAGGGCCCCAAGCCCCAGTTGGCCCCAAGGGAAAGGCAAATGCTGAGCAGCAAGAACCCCATACGAGAGCGGTTCTCGAACGCCTCAGAAGATAACCCTGACACGCCGGGGCAGTACTCACAGGGCGCTTAAGTAAGGAAGCCCCTAAGCGCATGCAGCCCCGGCATTGATGAGATACAAACCACCACAACAAGACAGCAGAGCACGCCACACAGGCAAACACCGCCCAGGAATTTGCGGCCAAAGAAGCGTCTGTCCTGGTTGACATTAGCTTACGAATTGGAGTGCTAGGCAGCCAGTGCGGTGAGATCCGGGGGCCCCCCCTTCCCCTCTCGGGGAGGGAAGGGCTGCGCAGACGAGTGGTGTGGCAGTAAAGTGTGATGTTTGTTTGTTTCCTTGGGATTGTAGGTAGTTTCTACCTCTCTCTCCATTTTTTTGTTTTAGTTTCTTACCATGTGGGGTTTGTTTTGTTATGCCTATCTTTCTGGGAGCCTAACCCCCTGTCGATGGCAGATAAGGAAAACCCCCAACCACAGAGGGGTTTTCCAGGGGCCATAGCTCCCTGAAACCTCTCTGAAGGGGCCAGGTTCTGGTTCTGGTCCCTGGTAGATCTGAACTCCATAGCTAATGTCCCGATCTAATATAAAGCACATTAGTCCGATAAGCTCCAGGAAACTGTAGGGGCTCCCCACAGACAATATACCTGTAGTTGGATACTTAATTTTCTGAATATTTGTGTATTTTAGTTTGGACAAATTAATGCTTGACATTATAAGCAAGGGAAATGTATTAATATACAGTAATAGATATTATTAGACTTGTTTAAAAATAGAAAACAAATGGAAAATTATGCTTGATCTTCTGGAAAAAACCTGAAAGTGAAAACATTCCATTATACTATCAGATATACATACAGTACTTTAATTGTGTACTATACAATAAAATACTACTTGTAATCTTATTTCAAATCAAGTTAATATTGCAACACTAGCTCAATTAAAGCATAGCCCATTCCTTCTTACTCAAAAGTACTCCTTATTCTACAAAACACAAGAAAATAAGAAACCCTAAAAATTATCCACTACCCATCACAGGTGGACATGTTATATACAATTTACTACACAATTGTTAATTTTTGTTTTTCAAATAAAATTACATTGCAATAATATCTAAATTAAAATTCATTTTTGATTTATATTGAAAAAGCAATCTTTAACCTACATAATGTAAGTGTAAGAGAATAAGAAAAAATTATTAATATTTGAAACACAAGACTTTACAAAACATGTTTTGTAAAGTAAAACATGAGTATCTCTCCTGTCTCTGCTTGCATTCTGTCTATGTGGCAAGTATAATACTTCGTTGTTAACAGTTAGAAATTAAATACTTTTAATTACCCCGAGATGGAAAATTCATTTTGTTAATACAGTAAATGATAAAGAATCGGTTTAAGAATCGGATATCATGATAAATCTCTATTTATTCTCAATATTGATTCTGATTAATAATCTTATTACTAGTAGTAAGGCTAATGTTAGTTTTCCCTATGCTGATGACCTAGTTCTATTAACACCAACCCATCATGCTATGGAAAAATTAATAGAAATATGTAAAAACTGAAGTTAAATACAACCTCATGCTCAAGCATGGCAATATGCAATAATTGCTTAAAGCTCACTGAGCTCTTATATCCAGATCTTTAAAACTAAAATTAACAGAAATATTGCAGTAAAATATATTAAAAAGATATCTGGGTATAATAGGTATCTTAAAGATACCTATTATATCCACACAATAGTCTGGTTCACTTAAAAGAAAAGAATGGAGATGTGCATCAAATTACCTACTTGGCCATTATAGATGAAGTCCATTATCGACTCCAACTCCCAAAACCTCACATCACGTAGGAAAATTATTGGGTGGTCACTTGGATTTTCCTGCAATGTTTACAAATATAAAATAATTGCTGTAAATAGCAACTTGAAATTGGAAAAGGTAGAAAAGGCTTTAAGATATTATCAAAACTTTTAAAATATTGTCTAATTTGTTATTTTCAACAGCAATTGTTATTCATATCCTTATACAGAATAAGTACTATATAGTGGAAATAAGCTCAGCCAGAATGAGCCAATCTGAAGTATCCAGCATAGGTTCTTATTCACTATTTATTAATCCATTTTACATTTTAATTACTGTACAGTAGTACAAATGATAGAACATGCTACAAGAGAAAATGGTAGTGCTAATACAGTATCGAACCTTACCTTTAGCAATTCTCTGAAGAAATTTGAACAGGCAGATAACATTAGCTTGTGTGCCTTTAATCTCCGGCCATCACAGGCAAGTGTAACATCGACAAACTGTCCTTCCTCTAGTAAGCAACGTAACACCCCAACTACACTACTCTGATAGTTGTTCCACCGGAGACAGAAGCACTGTTCACTCATGTTGGTAAGATAGCACCTGCAAAATAGGCAAATCAAGTTATTAAACTGGCACTACAACAGATGCCTTAGAGCAGTGGTTCCAACTTTTCTTGGACTTGTGGCCCTATTTTCTAATACTCAAAAGATTTGCATATTTGAGAATTTGAATACAGTACTCAAAAGTTCAACTTAATTCATTCAATTGCATCCTCTTTTGGCAGTGTACTCTGGATAGCTAAAATTTGACTGACCTGGTAGTTATACCCACCAGTTGGGAACCACTACCATAAGAGAAAAAATTTTATCATAAAAATGTAAGTTACTTATATCTAAGGAACAAAGTCTTCCCATTTAAAAAATTATCAAATATCACTCCTTTTACCATTTAAAGACCTGAATACAGGTGCTTCTGAAACATACTAAAAGCCTGTAAATTAAAATCAACAGCTAGCTCCCCGAGAAGAAAATTTGTCAAATGCCAGAATAACAAAATCTGTACTGTACTGTATATTCTTTTCTGACTAATGGTGAAGAAATATACTATATTAGCTAGCTCGGAGAAATAACAAATGCCTTTAGCCTAATGTAAACAATGTAAACATACTGAAAGAACGTTTGTCCCAACCAACAAAACTGTTTGACGAGTTCAGGTCCCAACTCGCGTAGATCTTTTTCACCCTGATCATATTTAAAATTAAAACTGTGATCCACAAATGAATATTGAATCAAGACTACTGAACCATTAAAGCTCTAAAAATTACATCTTCAGAATATAACAATTTATCACTTCAATTTAAAAATAGATAACATTAGCACACAGTTTTAGCTCATCTACAAAATTTTGAAAGCACACCAACAAATTCAAATAATGTACCTTGAAAGTAAAGAATTCCTTGAAGACAATCTGAAAAAAATTTCAATATGAAGGACACTCCAAAACAAACACTACTGCCTAATCTATTAACTATGGTGTCCCACAGGGATCAATGCCAGGACCACCGTGTTTCCGACATACAGTAAATAAAATGGTGCCGACTCTTATTCTAATGAAAACACCCTTCGTTTTTTTTGGTTGAAAACATACAATACAAACCTGTATGTGATTCTGGCGCTCTAACAAAAATAATTGGACAAATTTAGAATCGGAAAATAAATGGAAAAATAAAGTACTGGTTCAGACTAAGATTTATGGAAGAAGCTGGCGGGCGACTGGCTTCGGGAGTCTATGTCACGGGTGACCACTAAATCGTGACATCACGCGCCATTTTCCGAACCTCATTGCGGCCAAAGTACGTAATTACAATTTTTATTTTTTTTACATATCTGTGATCAGGGAAGGGTATTTAACATTTTCAAAAGCGAATAGAATTTTTTCCCGAGAATTTATTTCCTGCGCACAAGGGGGTGCCATATTTGGAAGGGGAGCAGCACAGTGGTTAAAGGTACTGTATACAGCATGTATACGCACAGGCTTCTTGTTCCCCACAACAAAATTTATAAACCACAATATAAGAACAGAGATAGTTTGGGAATGATACACTGGTTAACAGAGTGTAATCAAGTGAATTTGAGGGTAGGAGATGACAGCAGGCACACATGTTGACTGTGTGAGGAAGCTTGGAGTGAGTGAAGGCAATGACTAGATATGGCAAGAGACAAAACTGGGAAGTGCTCTGTAAGAAGGTTGCGAATGTATTTGTATAAAATGCATATAACAAACCATGATGAACAATAGTCACCTAATCTTATGAAGGAACAAAATGCTGCAGCGGATAACTTCTAGAGTGTGGCTATTTGTTTTTTCCAGGATGCAATACATAAGGTACAGGTGTACTATGAATAATATACCCGATTTACCCAAGGTCCACTAACCCTAGTGGCCTAAGGAAGAACAGAAAGCCGGCGGCTCGTTGAAGGTCCCTCCCATTTGCCTGTATGATCTTTTTTCCAGGTACAGTATATTTTGAAACTCGGCACAGTTTTAGCAGTTACGGCTTTGGCGGGTAGGCGGTTCCATGGGTTAATAACCCAGTGGGTGAAAAAGCATCACCTGTTCTCAGTCCTACATTGTGGCTTGTAGAGTTTGAAACTGTTGCTCCTTGTCTGTGTTACAGCTGACTTTTTGAAAAAAAATATCCAGATAAACATCCTGTAACTTGTTCAGTATTTTAAAAGTTTCAATGAGATCTGCCCTGTCATTCCTGGTTTGCAGTGTTGTTAGTTCTGTGGCCCTCAAGCATTCCTGATACGAGAGATGATTTGCTTCTGGAATGATTTTTGTTGCCGGGTGTTGTACCTTCTCCAGAGCAGCTATATCTTTCTGAAAATGAGGTCTCCATACTTGGATACAGTAATCCAAATGGGTGCACACCAGAGATTTATACAGTTGAACCTAACCTTTCCCATATAATCAAAAGTACTGTACACTTGATTATCCCAAGAGTTTGGTTTGCTTTTCTGACTGCTACACCCATCTGTTGTGCAACTTTTAATGAGTAGTGGATTTTGACTCCAAGGTCCTTTGCTTTATAAATCTGCTGTAATGTAATTAGTTTGGTAGTTGTGGCGTGGGTTGTTATGCCCCACATGCAGGGTCTTGCATTTGTCAAAATTAAAAAGCATTTGCCTGTCTTCTGACCATTTGTGGAGTTCATGTAGATCTCTTTGTAAAGCTTCAATATCATTATCATTTCCCACTTTACCATAAATCCTTGTGTCATCTACAAATTTGATGTGGTTTCTAATATTTTCATCTATGTCATTGATGTATACCTGTATGACAAAAAGAGTAGGTCCCAAAATGAACCCTTGTGGCACCCCACTTATCACATTTCTCCATTCAGATTCGTTTCCATTTAGCACAACCCTTTGTCTTCTTTCCTTTAACCATTGTTTTATCCATTCCAATATTTTACCATTTATTCCATGGACTTGTGATTTTCTTGCCAGTCATTTATGTCTGGGGAGCCATAGTCTTTAATTGGAGGCTTGACGGCTGAGTGGACAGCACTCGAGGTTCAGTTCTAAGGGTCCGGGTTCGATCCCCGGTGGAAGGAGGAAATAACTGAGCAGTTTCCTTCACCCTGATGCTCCTGTTACCTAGCAATAAATAGGTACCTGGGAGTTAGACAGCTTCTATGGGCTGCTTCCTGGGGATGTGTAATTACCTAAGTGTAATTACCTAAGATAGTAACAGGATGAGAGCTACGTTCGTGGTGTCCCGTCTTCCCAGCACTTTGTCATATAACGCTATGAAACTATGAAGGGCATTACAATTATCTAGGTTACTTATCCTTCCTATTATCTTAGCATCATCAGCAAACATGAACATGTTTGCTGATGATGCTAAGCAAATATAATTCTGTATTCTATCTGGTAGATCGTTTATGTAGACAATGAGCATTACCGGTGCAAGAACTGAACCCTGTGGTACTCTGCTTGTAACATTTCTCTAGTCCAATACACTTCCTCTTATTACTGCCCTCATTTTCCTATCAGTCAGAAAATTTTTCATCCATGTTAGCAACTTACCTGCCACCCCTCCAATGTGTTCCAGTTTCCAGAACAACCTCTTATGTGGAACTGTTGAAAGCCTTTTTTAGGTCCAGATAGATGCAGTCAACCCAACCATCTCTTTCCTGTAAAATCTCTGTGGCTTGATCATAAAAAGTGAGTAAATTCGATACACAGGATCTACCAGATCAAAAGCCATACTGTCTGTCTGATATTATATCGTTTCTCTCCAGGTGTTCTACTCATTTAATTTAAATTATTTTTTCCAATATTTTGACTATTACACTTGTCAATGATTCAAGTCTATAATTGACTTGACAGGGGGGTCTTCCCTGCTGCCACTTTTGTAGATTGGAACTATGTTAGCCTTTTTCCACACATCTGATAAAACTCCTGTACACAGGGAAGTCTGAAAAATCAGCTAAACTGGCATGCTGAGCTCAGGTGCACATTCTCTCAGAACCCATGGTGAAACTCCATCTGAGCCAACTGCTTTCTTCTTACCTAGCTCCAAGAGCATTTCTTTCACTTCGTCTCTAGACACCTCTATGTGTTCTATGTTGTTCTCTGGAATTCTTATTGTGTCTGGTACCCTGAAGATCTCATTTTGTACAAACACACTTTGGAACTTTTCGTTTAGTGTTTCATACATTTCCTTCTCCTTTTCCGTGTATTTCTTCCCCATTTTCAACACTGAATATTATCCTTTACCTGCAGCTTGCTTTTAATGAATTTATAGAAAAGGCTTGGATCTGATTTACATTTGTCTGCTATACCATTCTCAAAGTTCCTCTCTGCCTCTCTCCTTACTGACATGTGGCTGTTTCTCTCATCTTTGTATCGCTGGTATGTCTGGGGGTTTGGCCTCTTCCTATAACGATTCCATGCTTGTGTCTTTTGATCTCCGACCTTCTCACAATTTCTGTTGAACCAACCCTGTTTCCTATGTCTGCATCTCTGTTTTGGTATGAATGTTTGTGTGCCTTCATCGTATATTTCACAAAATATGGCATACAACTTATTACTTCCTTGCCTAGCAACAAGTCTGTCCAATTATGCCCATGAAAAAAATTTCAAAGTTCCCCATAGCGTCCTCTCTTGAAATTGAGTTTAACAACTGTTTCAATGTCCCCCATTCTCTACTAGATTATATCGCAAAGCGTATTTGATGTCCAAGAGGACGTGATCACTCTTTCCCAAGGGAGGAAGGTACTGGATGTCAAATACCTCTTCTTCTTTCCTGGTGAATATTAGATCCAGTATTGGTGGAACATCCCCTTCCCTCATTCTTGTGGCCTGCTTGACATGTTGATACTTGAATGTCTCCAAGATGAGGTTTACAAATCTGCCTGTCCAAATGTCCTCTGTTCATGTGTGCGCGCGCACAAAATGTGAGCAAGTTTGTAAGGCAGGATCTGTTTTTTAACGAATCCATGTTGAGTCGATTATACAAGGTTTCAGATTGTACACTGAAAGATGGTAAACGATTCCCTCCCTGAGGATTTTTCTCCATGAGCTTTCAGA